CTTGCGCGGGAGACAGTCAATAAACGGGTGGCCCATATGTAACTAAGGCGGCACCATGTCAACACCTCTGTTATCCCCATGTATGGGTGTATATTAGTTACCAACTAGCATCATAAAAGCATCCGTTCGCAGTTACATTAATCAGTTAAACGTGTTCACCTAAATCTGCCGATTGTTGGCAGAGATTAAAGTTTTGGTGTACAAAATGGCTGCCAGTCAGCAGATATTTACTCTGGTGTTGGGCAGGTTGCATTTGGTCATCTATCCAGTCCAACTAAACTATGGAACAGGTGGTCGAAGGGCCCTACTAGCCTTTGGTAACGTCGTATCTGAACCCAGACACCGGATTACTGACCATGACTAAGTTGAAGATACCATTCTGTCATTACTTATGGAATGATTTTTCGCAGATGAACGGAGGCGGTAAATCAGTCAGCTTGGCCCTCAAAAACGAAAAGACTTAAGTGTTTTCGACTTGTATTCCTGGCCAGTAGAAGGTAGCCCTCTCATTCGAAGTTAACGCTTATGAGTTCGAGGAATTGTACAGTTGCAAAATCGTCGAGGTGAGTATGTTATCAAATTAGCATGGTAAAAAGCACTTCGCATTTCGAAGTGGTTACATTCGCAAGAATTTCGCGGCCCTTATAGAGTTTCATGGATGTGAACACTTTGAACGCTTGCTCAATCTTGATGATCAATTGATCACACCTTGGCTCTCCTATGCAGTGGAATTTTACCCCTATCCAATCTGAGCGACGTCATGCGACTTCTCACCTCTCTGCAACAGAATTGCTTATACGAGACATAAATCTCAAAACAACAAGGCGCCCGGCGGGAACCATATTTCAGGTGAAATCTATTAATTGCTTGTCTACACTCTGGCGCCCTAGTCTCACGAGATGATTGAGCAACATTTTGGAAAAAGAGTTTAGTCCAAAGACTGGGGTTCAGAATCTTTTGCATGTTTTCAAGAAGTACGATAAGGCGAAGTGCAAGAACTATCATGGCATATGCTTAGATCGCCACAGATTTTCGAGTTCACGGGGCATCAGTCCAGTTATTCATCCTGTAGGTTTTCAAATTCTGGGATGTGCGCGCGTAATATAAACTAAACCTAGGTGATAGACTGCCGTGACCCAAGAAAAATCCGTCGAGTGATTTGCATTGAACTTGCCTCAAGACGGTATGCATTCGGCGCAACATCTTGAGGACATGCCAAGGCATCCATGATGGATAAATATGATGACTTACGAGCGTCTTCCGTCGTCAGCCCTATAAGCTCGGTACAGATACTTCTGATAGGCTATCGAA